TTGGGGGGGGGGTTGTGGTGGGTTTTTTTTTTAAAATTTTTTGGGTTGGGGGGAGAGGGGGGGGGGGGGGGGGGGTCGTCAGCAACAATTCAACATTTCTGGTCGTCCCACCTAACCCACTTTCATAACCTCCGGTCTCTAATTTCCGTACGGCATTGCCTCTCACGCTGAAGATCCGGGGCCAGTCACACCGAATACTCCATTGTTCTGCGGCGCATGCCTCCCTTCATTTGTAAATCCGAAGGTTTGAGTGATTCCCTCCATCAAGCTTAGTGACGACTACGCGCTTTTCACTCACTACCAGGCACGCCTCGTGGAATTAACAAAAAACCTGACCGAGATTCGTACCCCCCCAATAAGCCGATAGGCGGTGTTAGAGGCTACCTACCACCTACAGTATCACGACCGGTCTTGTACATGTCTGCCTCATATTCGTTTGTGTTGGGCGCTCTTCCTCACCTGCTACTGGTGGCCGCGTTCACGAACGACAGGCCCCTGAACTTGCTGCCCTTGGTCTCTTCATCGTCGGAGTTGAACGGCATCACGTACGTGCCGATGTTGGCGTACTTGCGCATGGTGTGAGAGACGTGGAAATCTTCCCCTGTCTCGAAGGTCATCGGCCGCTCGCTCTGCCACCAACGTGAGGTGCGGGTGGGGAAGGGGTTCTCACGATTTAACACCAAGTCAGAAGAGAGGGGGTGCGCTCGTGACATGGCTTCGACAACGATGGGGAACAAGAACGGTTGTGAACCAAGCATCGAAAAAAACAAAACCGGTCCTTGCCGCAGACGGCGTCTTTTCACGCAAAAGCACCACCAACCGGAACTCACCCACATGTGCTGCAGCCACTCAGGCCGCAGGAACCATTGGCTGCACAGGTAGTCCACGGGCACCGCGCTATCCTGGTCCCAGTAGTAGTCCGGCATGTACATCCCTCCATGGCTACCCCACTGAAGACAGATAGATATCACCACGCCGCCACGGAAACATGCAGCACCCCATCATAACCCATGGAATTCGCACGATAAACCCACCGTCGTCCCACGGGAAAATACAACATCCAAACAAACCGTCCGTCCAGGAAGCCCATCCCACAGAATCAGTACGGCGGTGTGGTTCGTTTTTGTTGCGTCCCGCGCGTTCGATAGACGGACAAGAGGGAAGGGCAACAACGTCAAGCGCGGCGGGAGGAGAGAGGGAAAAGGAACAAAGTTCAGAAGAATTCTAGGCTTATTTCTTGTTTTCCCACGTGAAAAAGATTCAAGTACACGTTGCAATGTTGTGTAGGCTGAGAAACCCGGACGAAAAGCTGGTGCTTGTTCTATGCTGTCGTGGATGTTTTGGCGTCCCCTCGACGAGTCAAAAAGCTTACGCTGCAGCATCAGGACTTAGATGTTCAATTCCGACGCCATACGGAACGACGGCAAACAACACTCCTCAAAACCAATCCCAACATTGCATTATTAATAGCACTCATTCGACATGCACGTGTACGGTGTGCAACGGGTCAACGACCCAACGGTTCGGTTTCCAGCTCAAACAGGCATCGCACCTTCCGGTAGGACACGAGCGACATGTCGCGGCCCGGCCTGGGCAGCACCCTTCCGATGCTTCCCAGCAGCGAACTCCCCAGAAGTTCGGTCCCCGCCGCGTGCATGAGCTGCCCGAGGTACTTGTTGCCCGGGATCATGTCGTCGTCGATCAGCCACACGAAGTCCGTCGGCGCCGTCAGCGCCATCTGATCACCGACACGCGGAGTAGATAGATAGGAACCAAGTACGGGTGGGGAGGGTTAGTGTGGAAGTCAAGGCAAGGCGTGGGTGGGGGAGGGACGTTCTGTCCTACTGGGAATCGTCCGAAATGCTGGTGTCATTGCAGGAGTATTTACTGGTGAGGCCGCGAGGGTGGCGAGACGCAATTTGGACACGGCAAGTCGCGAGAGAGAAACTGTTATGAGGTAGGGGTATGGGTGGGGGGGTGGGGGGGGGGGAGGCAAGCATGTGGCGCTTTTGTTCCCGTGTCCAGCACATGGTTCTTAACCTGATGTATCGTCCGGAGCGTACTGAACCCTTGTCAGAAACAACTTTCTCAAGACATCCACGCATCCATAAACAACCAGAAAAAAAGAACACCGTAACGAAATGTACAATAAATATATATACTCGAAACAAACCTAAACCTATGCATACAGCAAGAGACAACAACAACCGAACCCGCGAGACCTGGTCAACTTCGAAATACTGTCCGCAAAGAACACCGCTGACCTGGAACCGTCCGTAGAACTTGAAGTTGAAGTCGCTGACGACAAGCCGCACGTTCTTGTACTTGGACTCCTTCACCACCCGAAGGGCGTAGTCCTGGGCGGGCGCGCTGAACACGCAAACCCACACCTCGGCGATGTGGCTCGCGGTCGTCTGCGCGAACAAGCTGTCCAACTGCTCCGTTAAAACCTGGGGGAAGGAACCGAACAAACAGATGTCGTGGTGTTAATAATCAACACCCGACCGGGAGCAGAAAGAAGAGAGAATTGCGCGGTTGTCACAAAGTTGGGGGATGGGGGGAACGTGCGCGCGAGGGGGGGGGGGGGGGGGGGGGGGGCACCCTTTTTTTTTTTGCGGCCTTAGGGGTTAAACCTTTTCCCCCCCCCCCCCAAAAGGGGGGGAATTTTTTCCCCACGGCCCCACCCCCAGGGGCGCAATTTTTTTCCCTATAAAAGGGGGGGGGGGGGGGGGGGGGGGAGGA